TTGAATTGCTTGCGCCCTAGCGGGCGCTTCCATGAGGTGCGTTAAGTCGTTTGTGTGCATCCTAAGCGTTTCCACCTTCTTCGCTCGCAGCTGCCGGCTGTCGCCCTGCGTATCTTCCTCCGTCCGACCTACTGCTCCGTTCTTAGCCTTCTGCGGAGCGCTTGGTAGGCGGGATGAAGGTCTATGGCTCTGTTTAATGTGTCAGTCGAGGACCAACTTTCTAGCAACAATCTGACCATCTTATCGTTGGCTCGGCCTATTACCCTTGGTGTCTCGAAGGCAAACGTGTGGTCCTCTTACTGTACGTGGTCATAGACCATAGATCGGTACAATCGATTTACACGCGGGCATCCGGCGTCAGGCTCACGTTCGGACACACATACTGACACCAGCTGGAGAACGGTTATCACGCTCTGACGATGGAAGTGAGAAAGCTTTTGAAAAGTCAGCTTAAATACAACCTGGTCCTAGAAATCGACCCTTCTTCTTCTTCCTCTTCCGGGGATGATGAAAGGAATATTAACCTCTTTTTCCTGGAACGTGTTGCAAAGACACCTGAATCGCAGTCAGTTTGTGTGTTCCTATCCGGTTTGGGGGACCATATAATTAATCCTTATTACCGGTACCTTATGCCCCGAATTAGTCTTTGTCATACTTTGACGCTTCAGAATTTGATTCTACGCACTTTCCCTACCCCGGGCCACCCCTGTTCTCTCGCCCCCACACATACACACACACATACAACATCGGGAGAGGGGGGGTTAACGTGACGTATTTATCGCACTTTTATGGGTTTCGCTTCTCCTGCCATAAAATCTTGTTTGGCTTTTCGGCACACATAATGAGAATTTAAAGAAAAAATGCCAATTTCGTTAATCCCATACGAGGGTTGGCGATGCATTCTGAGCCTGTTCATACTGCCTGCGTTTTACTGAGCCATTATGTCGACTTATGGCCCTTTTCATTTAATTTTTTTGTGGAAAAAAGCCGTGCCCCGTGGAATTCAGCTTTTTCTAGAAAAAGGGAGGAATCGTCGTCTTACACCGGTAATGTGCCTGGTGACGCTCTACTCCAATTACTGATTTATCCCCCCTCCAAGTTAGCGGTTAATTTCGGGGGAAATTAAAATGCTGG